GGCGGCGCTCCGGGGAAGGGGCGGGGCGGGGACCCAGGGGAGGGGCGAGGCGGCGCTCGGGGGCGGGAAGGACTCTGGGGCTTCTAAGGTGACTCCGCGACACAGGGCAAAGACCCGGGACACGGATTGCGTCAGCAGCTTACCTTCCAGGCGCGCCTCTCTATGGCTGCCGCCCCGTGCCACTGTCACTTCTCACGCTTACCTGAAAGTCGCAGGAGTAGAAGCGATGCGATGACCGGAATGGCTCTCTTTGATTCTCGGAGCCCCTCCTGCCCTATCAGTACACCCTGCCCCTTTCCCTCACAGGCGGTGCATTAATCAGTTCTTGGGTTACGTGCTAGTCATTACGGCCTCCGATTCCCAAATATCTGAGACGTGGCTCGGTTCCTGTCTTCTAGAAACTGGATTGGAGCCATTCGTCTTTCCCCGTCCGACGAACTGTTCTTTTATTTCTCTCTCCCTGTCTCTCCTTTCTGTCTTTCCGCTCTGTCTCTGTCTCTCTGTCTCTCTCTTTCAGACAGGGTCTCTCTACATATCCCTGGCTGTCCCGGAACTCACTATGTAGAGCAGGCTGGCCTCCGCCTGCCTTGCTTCCCAAGTGCCGGGAGTCCCCGTGCCTGGCTCCTTCATATCTTTTAGGGTTAGCACGGTGGACTTTCCACGGCAGCTCTTCCCGCTGTCAGGGGCGTGTCAGATCACTCTGGGAAGAAATGGCCCCAGTTCTCCGGACAGTAAAGAGCAGATGTGGGTAGAGACCAGGCCCTTGTGACAATTTTACAGTATGCAGCCCCTAGAGTGATTGGACTGTAATGTCAGTACTGGGAAAGGCTGAGAAATCCTGGTCCACAGACACTTGTGTGGACTCCCACCTCCAGAGTGTCCTAAGTACCATTTAGTGCCATTTGACAAGCGAGGAAGCAGAGATTTGGTGACAGTATTTTACAAAGTCACACAGCTGGTAGCTCTTGTTAAAATTCAAAGCATTTTATTACCAAGGCACAGAGTTCAAAGAGTAGCACAGATTATCAACCACAGTTGTAAGCTCTCTCATTTTGAGATTAAATTTAAGAATATATATAAAATATTATATATACATATGTATGTATATATGTTAGCCAAGTTTGGTCCAGGCTACCTGCACCCTTTCTTAAAAACAAATAGAAGTACCTGGCATGGTGTCACAAGCCTTTCACTTTGGCACTAGAGAAGCAGAGGCTTTGCGAATCTGTGAATTCAAGGCCAGCCTGGTCTATGTAATGAGTTCCAGGACAGCCAGGGATACATAGAGAGACTCTCTCTCTCTCTCTCTCTCTTTCTCTCTCTCTCTCTCTCTCTCTCTCTCTCTCTCTCTTTCACACACACACACACAGAGAGAGAGAGAGAGAGAGAGGAAATGTCTTGAATATACCAACAGACCACTTGACTTCCATCTCTAAACTCATTAAAATATTTAACAGTTTTTTAATTGCTTACCACATATATTGCTTACTTAAAAACTTGAAACACGGGGCTGGGGAGATGGCTCAGTGGTTAAGAGCTCTTTCAAAGGACCCAGGTTCAATTTCCAGCACCCACATGGCAGCTCACAACTGTCTGTAATGGCAATTCCAAGGGATCTGACACTTCACACTAATGCACATAAGATAAAATTAAATAAATTTTTAAAACTTGAAACATTAAAAAATATATAGGATAAGAAGTCATCTGTCCCTATAGCTTTACCTGCAGAGTTAAGATCATGTTTACAGCTTGGTAGATATTTTTTTTCAGATGGCTTGAATTTCCACTTAACTTGTGAACAAGTTTGTTCAAAAGTGACATAGCTTCCTTATCCGGTATCTGGTGCCTCATCTGACACTGTGAGGATTTCATAAAATAATAAATGTGAAACATTTAACATCTTTCCTGACCGGGAATATGTGTTTAAAATGCTAGTTTGTGTACACGTATTTGTGTGTGGAAAGAATAAACTACAGCGTGGTGAAACAACAGACAGCTACCCAAATTCCAGCACAGCAAAACTTTATGTCTTTGTTAACTGCATGACAGTTAACACAGAATGGCAGCATAATCTTTCCATGCAATCCCACTGGGGCCCAGCCCACCCAGCCATAAACAGATTCTGAAATACATGATGTCCTTAACGAAAGAGATGATGTTCCACTCACGATTGGCTGGCCATAATTTGGAAGCACAGCCTTGCCTAAAACTGCTAGCTGGCTGGCAGATGGCACAGTTTTTGAGCACTGCAGTGTTTTTGCTGTCCCCTGCCTCTCCTTTCACGCAGGACGATACAGCACATGTACACTGTGTCAGGCTTTCCCATTCTTTCACACTTAGAGTATACCAGGGACACCTCCCATGGCTGCTTGTTGATACCTCACTCTCCGTGCCAAGTGTTGGGATAACGCAGAAAACATTTGCTAAGGTTTTCCTTCATAGGCTTGTTAGATTGTGAACAGATCAGAAATAAAACACTTTATAAGCTACTGTCAGGAGGTGATAAATGATACCAAAAAACAAAAAACAACAACAAGAAAAGGCCAGTCGTAGGGGTACACTCCTTCAATCCCAGCACTAAGGAGGCAGAGGCAGATGGATATCTGTGAGTTCAAGGCCAGCCTGGTCTACAGGGTAGGTTCCAGGACAGCCAAGCCTATATAGAAAAACCTTGTCTAAAAACAAACAAATAGAAAAGGAACTGTTGGGGTATAATTCTTTTTATTTATATATTCTTACTATGTAGTCCAGGCTGGTCTTGAATATTTGGTCCCCACCATACCTGATTGGCAGTTTAAAATGGGATGGTCATTGAAGGCTTCTCCGGGGTGTCATTTGAGTTTAATTCTGAAAGGAAGTAAGTCTTGTAAATATCACCAAAGAAAGAACATTCCAAAAAAAATAAAATGATTATTAGTTTGGCCTTCAGCTCAGGGGTGGAGAACTTATTTGCCTAACATACCCAAGTGCCCAGGTTCAATGTCAGGGCCAAACAATAAAATTAAAAGAAAGAAAAAAAAGGAATCGCTAGAGTTGCTTGATGCTAGATTTTGCTAGTTTTATCTGAAAACTCCCATGAAAATTTTAAACTCAAAAGCTAACATCTATGCTTGCTGGGCAGTGACAGAGCATTCCTTTAATTCCAGCACCCAGAGGAAAGCAGATCCAGAGGCAGAGGAAAGCAGATCTCTGAGTTAGAGGCCAGCCTGGTCTAGAAAGCGAGCTCCAGAACAGCCAGGGCTACACAGAGGATCCCTGTCATGAAAAAAAAAACAAAACAAAATCTGTGAAATTTTATCTTGTTGTTGTTTTTCAAGACAGGGTTTCTCTGGGTAGTCTTGCTGTCCTGAAACTTGCTTTGTAGACCAGGCTGGCCTCTAACTTGGAGCTCTGCCTGCCTCTGCCTCCATGTGTGCTGGGATTAAAGGCATGTGCCCCCACCTCCTGGCTATTGTTTGTAAAATTTTTAATAGAGCTTTTGTCTGCCTTTTAGAAAATGGTTAGAAAATTTATGAAAATTAATACCTTAATTGTTTCTGATTTGTTTTGATTTTTGAGACAGGATTTCTCTCTGTAGCCCTGGCTGCCTTGGAACTCATTCTGCAGACCAGGCTGGCCTTAAACTTACAGAGCTCTGCCTGTCTCTGCCTCTTGAATCCTGGGATTAAAGGCATGAGCCCAGCTAACCCTAGATAATCATCTTACTTCCCTAGAAACAATGCTTTAGCTTGTTTGATTCTCTAATTCTTACTAACTGGCAGCCAAGCTAGCTACTTTTCAGAACATACTTATTGTATATGTGCTGGTCTTAGCTTTCTAATTATTTGCTATATTCTTAATCCATCTTTTGAAATAGCATCTTTCTATAGTATCATTTAAAGCGGTTAAATAGAGAATGAATCCTGTATAAAAACACGGAGAAGTAAAACTTCTTGATGGTTTTACTTCTTTATCTTTATTTTATGTGTATGACCGTCCTTTCTGCCAGGTACATGTGCATCATGGGCTTGCCTGGTCCCCTGAGAGGCCAGAGAAGGGAGGGCCTGGATCTCCTTTGGGACCGGAGTTCCCCTTGATGACTTCGTTTAAAAGTCATCTCTTAACTATTCTAGCTGTTTGGGCTTGTTTTGTTTTATTGCTTTTTTTTTTTTTTTGAGACAAGGTTTTTCTGTGTAGCCCTGGCTATCATGTAATTTGTTCTGTAGGCCATGCTGGTCTCAAACTCAGAGAGCTACCTGCCTCTGCCTCCCAAGTGCTGGGATTAAAGTCTTGCGTCATCACCACTTGGCTTCTATTCTGTTTGTTTTAAATAGGGCTTTACTGCTGGTTGGTAGTAGGGTACACCTTTAATCCCAGCACTTGGGAGGCAGAGGCAAACAGATCTCCAGGTTCAAGGCCACCCTGAGAGCTCCAGGACAGCCAGGGATACACAGAGAAACCCTGTTTCAAAAAACAAAAACATAATTATATATATATATATATATATATATATGCATACATACACACATACATTTATAAACAGTGGGTGACAAAACATACAAAGAGCTTAAACAGCTGTTTCCTTGAGTTGTTCTTTCAAATCGTTGGACACTGAACAAAAAGTTTTCTTAGTTACATATTTATGATTCTTCTACTTTTAAAATATCCTTTTATTATTTGATTGTTGTTGTCATAGAAATCAGCTATATCACATAAACATTTTGGTAACTTCCATCATGTTTTGACTAAAATGACTAATAAGAGTCTCAAGAGCTAGATGCTGATGACTGAGGCAGAAAATGAGATCAGCCTGG